TACAGAGTGTACGGCCCTTATGATCATGGTATGACCTTTCAATAGGGCTTTCACAACTGTCCGAAAAATTTGGTGGATATCGGAGTTGACATAGTTATCAAAATGGGGCAAAATACGCTGCTTTCAGCTGTAACATAATGACATAATGTCTGATGGTTGGATATGCTTTAAATTTTTCGGACACTTTCCTTGTAAGTCTATCAGTAAGCTAACCAATTTTTGTTAAAATTGGATCAAGGGAAGGTTACTCAATATGCATTTGTTTCAAGAATTTTGTGCTGGCCGAAATTAGCGCTAAAAAACCATCCTACAGTCGGCACGCGCGGGTCACTGTCGATGGCGCACTACTAGTACTATACCTAGTATATATTGGAACCCTCTAAAACTGCGATTTTACAATTTGTAACTTAGCGCGCGGCTTTTGTAGCGTATACGAATATACGTCACTTTTTTACAATGGGTATGTTGCATATGTAGTAATTAATAAAACAAATATTAATAAAACAAATATTTATTTTTACGGCACAATCAAACAATATCAATAATAAATAAATCAGGGGAGGTTTGAAAAGGTTTCAAGTGCCGAAGGCCACTACTTATTTTTAGGATTTGAGAGTGACCTGTGCTTGAAACCCCCTCAACCATCCACTACGTCAATATACTTGTTATACAAATTGAAATATAGAAAAATATAATAATCTAAAATTACTTATTGGTTTAGTTTGGTGACATAGGAGAGCCCAGTTGAGTTTTAGTTTATGTTTAGGTTTTAAATCATAGTTTAAAAGGTTAGCCATGTTTCATGGCAGAGAGAGATATCATGTGTGCAGAGCCGTACCGGATTTAGAATTTGAGATATAATATAAAGTAGTTACCATGTATTAGGGTCATCTCGATTTTGGAGGGATAGCAAGTGCTTTTTAAGGTTAGATTTAATAATACCTGACGAGGCTGACAAGTCTGAATTCTTGGAAGAACCCGGGATTATTATCCCATCTTCATTAGCATCACATATTTCGAATACATAGGGGCTGAGGTCATTCCAAATTTTCGTAGAGGTGTACAAATTAGCGTGACGTGCACTTGTCATACGTTGTATGACCCGTGCGTGGCTCCCCCTGTAGTAGAGGCTCTTACGGGCATTGTCTGCTCGATACGCTAGGGACCCCAGATACACCTTACTAGACGTATTTTTGACCGTAGAATCGATTGAAAGTGGTTTTAAAATGATTGGACTGATTGTTCTGGGGTAAAATTGCAAAAAACCGATTTTTGGGCCAAAAATAGGCCAAAAAAACCATGTTTTTTGATATTTTGAGCAAGTTAATTTTGTTGGTATGTCGGCAAAACTTGCATGAAGATAGCTAAAAGACAGCCGCACAAGATTGTGTAAAAATAAAACAAATCCCTCTATTTGTTCTGAGGTAAAAATCCAAAAAAGTGGTAAAAATTTTGACTTTTTTGCGCGCAATTTATTTTTGGTACTTATATGCTATATTTTGAAAATTTTTAAACTTATATCTTGTAATAACAATTAATTAAAGTATATTTAATATAATTTTGACCAAAAAATTCATGTTTAATGGAACCAAAATTTTAGGTGCGCCGCGCATATTTTCGAATATTTACACCGTGGTATGAAAATCGAGCGCTAAACCAAATAATGTCATATTTTCACAATAATATTTAGGTTGTTTTTTAGTGTTATCGTCGCATTTCGAAGCTCCTTTTCACCCTATTTGGTTATCTTTTTAATGTGTAATTTGATTACTAACTATGTTTTCATGTATTCTCTTTGATGTGGAGTACCCATTCATACTATTTCCTATCGTTTTTATCATATGCTTTTTTCTCTAGAGTCGGCTCTATTTGTGACATACCTCTTATCTTCTACATAGTTTATCGTGGTTTGTTGATACTGAATTGGTTTAATTGATACTATACGATTACTCTGTTAGAAATGTATAGTAAGATGTGACGGAATAAGAGGAACTAAAATATTTAAATGGGTTGTGGCCATTTCAAAATATTCGATGAGGTTATATTTTTTAAATTGAAGGTCTTTCACCAAATATGACTTGAATAGTTTTTCGACAAAGTTTTTAGAAGAGCTTTAATGATTTCAAAGAATTAGCAAATTGATTGTACGTCTTAGAAGCTACTACAGAGAGGCTACCTACACCAAACATAAATCCGACATATCTTGCAGATAAGTTGGAGCCAATCCTAGTATGGATTTGTGAGATTTTGTAGTGAGATTTTGAATTCAATCCTCTTCTCTATATCCATTATCCAACCAGTAAAGATTGATCAGTTCATCCTCAAGATGGTAATGTTTATATTGCCTATCAACAGCTTTGGCTACGGCATTTTGTAGTAACTGGACCTGATAGGATACAAGGATACAAGGATACATTTATCCTGAAATAAACATTGACATCATCGGCAAGTAATGGCCTCAAAAATTATGGTCCCTTCAAGATCAAAATCAACAATAATGTTTAAATTTATAAGATAAGTAGGAATAATAATTTTAGCCAGTCTCGCCTCTAGTTATACTCTCTACAAGCTGACTATCTTATTGTTCCTAATACTATGAAACTTGTCAGGCCCTGTAGTTCGTTTCAGTCTCAGTTCTTCTACAAGCTTTTTATAAGCTTTTCGTTCCGTGGCAGTCCTATCAGGGCAGATGTAAACTGAGCTGTTCCCCTCCTTTGAGCGTAGTGTACTGGTGTTTCTGATCACTGGTGTTGCATGGTCAGAACTGCTCAATGTGAACTTTACTGGTCTGGATACATTTTCTTTCGGAGCTCCAATACAGCAGCAGTCCCTGACTAAAGGCTTCTCACTAATTTCATTCAGAACCTCCTCAACATTACTCAGCAGTTGCTCGTTCTCTGATTCTGATAGACCATAAATGATTACGTTCTTGCTTCACTCAATCTGGTTTTCTACTTTTTTAACTGCAGCGTGGATCTTCTTCGGGGCGAAAGCAGCATTGATGCTTTTTCTAACGACTGAAGAGTAGCTTTTTACTCCGTTTGCACGGTATTCTGCATTGATTTGAGCTGTTTGTTGCTTTTTTCAATAGCCTTATTCTGAAGATCGATGATAATACTCTGATCTGAAATCTTCTCACTTTTCAACTTGTCAATTTCTTCTGCAAGAGGTATCGCCTTCCTTAGCCAGGTGATACTGAACTGGTCCAATATACAACAAACAGTTTCCAAGCATTCGCATGGTTTCTCTTTCGTTACTGATCTCTTGTTCATCAAATTGCAAGATTGAATTTCCTCGTACATTTTCTTGTTGATTTCACTACAAATCTCGTCTAAAACACTCCCTGGCTTTTAATAGTAGGCACAAACATTACTAATGTTTTATGAGCGATTTCCACACCATCTCATTGAGCAATACTATATTACTATTAGACCGAAAGACTTTAATTTGAGTTTTAGAATTATTTATATTAGTTTTAGAATCATGTACATTAGCTGCAGATAGTATTTAAACGGGTGGGCAACAATTGACCCCCCGACAATTGACCCCCGACAATTTTCCCCCGACAATTGACCCCCCAACAATTATCCCCCCGACAATTGACCCCCGACAATTAGCCCCCCTAACCCTAACCCTGACCCTGACCCTGACCCTGACCCTGACCCTGACCCTGACCCTGACCCTGACCCTGACCCTGACCCTGACCCTGACCCTGACCCTGACCCTGACCCTGACCCTGACCCTGACCCTGACCCTGACCCTGACCCTAACCCGATCAATTGATCCCTGTGTAATTACATGGGGGGTCAATTGTCAGGGGGTCACTTGTCGGGGGGTCAATTTTCGGGCGGTCAATTGTTGGGGGGTCAATTGTCGGGCGGTCAATTGTCGTACTAAGCCCTAGATTTCGTGACAATTGACCCCAGTGTAATTACATAGGGGGTCAATTGTCGGGGGTCAATTGTCGTACTAAACCCTAGATTTCGAGACAATTGACCCCAGTTTAACTACATAGGGGGTCAATTGTCGGGAAGTCAATTGTCAGGGGGTCAATTGTCGCGGTACCTATTTAAACATCCAGTTCTTTGTCCTCAAGAAACAATTTCTCGGTTGATTGACGAAGGTTTTGACTTAATCTGAAGAACAGAAATATGTTCATATTTTCATCAGCTGCTATGAAGATATCATGAACACTATCTTAATAACAAGTGAAATATGATCTCTTTTGTAAGCATATTGTCCAGGACAATTGAGGTCATCATTACATGCTCATTGCTCCTGTAGCCTTCTCTTTTAATTAGTTTTCCCAAGGTTTGACACTGGTCTGTAGTTTTTCAAGACATCTGGAAAATGATCTTCATCGATTGGGGATAACTGGTGTGATGTAAAAAAATAATTGTGGCTTATGATACCAGGGAAATGTAGGTGTCAGCTAAACCCTCGATTTTATGTTTAAATACATTGTATTTATCATAAATATCATATCATATATATATACAGTTACACTGTGTAGTGTTATCCTTTATTAAATAATTGTGGACACTGGCTGATAATCAGTGAAGGCAGAATCGTGGATTATACCTGATAACTACTGGTGGTGTTATGGCTATTAGAGGGTTGTTAGAGGACTGGGCTATTACCGTAACAGCTGCCTACTAGCCTGGTGTTAGAGGGTTGTTAAGATTTTTGGGAGCACAGATACTTAATAGTAATATATCTTGTTTGGATGTTTGAACTTTTCGATTTGTATCTCGAAAGTTATGTTTAACTTCCCCACGCAGTGTTTTAAATGTATGATATTGTAAGATGTATAATGTCATTATTTTATAGCTCCTCAAAGGATATTGTTCTTATCCACGTAGGAATCAAGTGCTCATTTTGATTGAGGTGGCAATTTGAAGTTGCAGCCCAAGATTTTATTGATTTTAATGTGGTCTATTCTTGATAAAAATATATTGCGCTACTCTTCGTTTAAACTACTTTAGCTTTAAACTGTTTAGGAGATGATTTGAAGCGGTGCTACAATCTACAGTGGTCGGTGGACAAGTGTGATGGACACCAGAGCCAGATGCTTTAGTTCACACTATGACTGTGACTGATGTACCTCTGCAACAAACTGACTGTCTTACTTGTAACCTGGTTAGTTAATATTAGTTATTCTTAATTGTGTACCTTCAAGCTTTCCTCCACAATTACAACCAACTTAGAAGCAATGATTTATTGTCAGTATTTTTTATTATTGAACAGACTGAGCCTTGTGCTCGTATTACCTTAGGGCCAATAAATTTGGTTGACAATAAATTTGGTTACCATAATTTTGAAAATTTTTAGTCTACAACAATTTTAGTCACATTTTTCGACTTTTTGAAACCATTTTCCATTCCATTTATTTGATTTTTCCATTATTCACAATTAAGAATGATTTCACAAACGTCGTAAGCATTACTTTAAAGTACAGGGGATCTTCGATATTAAGCAGGTTTGGTGGGATTAAATTCTAAAATCAAGGTCTTATAACTCGATAACACGTTGCCATGGCCCCATAGCAACCACAATCAGTGCCCTAGCAACCGAGGCAAATTTGGTTGATTTACCTAACTAATCCTTGGTACTGTTTCACAATTTTAACTTCAATCATCGTCAATTCACTAGCTCACTGTTCATGCAGGTCTCTCCAAAGTAAATTCCAAGGAAAAAGTTATGGTTTGGTGTGCCATCAGCCATATAGGACCATGGAATAAATTGCCCATATTTCTTCGAGAAAAATATAACTCAAAATTAGCCATTAAACCTTAGAACTACCAATAACTTTTCACAAAATCAAGTTTAGACAAGTCATTTGTCTAAACTGCAGTTTACTTTTGTAGTAGCTGATCCTAGTCGGCAATCCTAGCTCTAGTGGATAAAGAGTTATTCAAAAGTACATCCTTGCAATATTTTTGAACACCCTGTAGTCTGTACGCTCCGAAATCTGATTTAATACTTCAACTCTGATATCATCTAGTGCAATGCGATATGCTAATATTTGATTGTAGGAGACTCTCACTTCGTCCCCAAAAATGAAATATGATGGACCCACTCACAAGAGCGAAAAAAGATACACATTACTGTAATGTTTATAAAACACTTTTATGTGCTCGTGCAATGTGTTTATTTTCAAAAACTGTAACATCGCTCAATCAAAGCCTTATCAGCACAACACGCACAATCACATAATATATCATCAACTTGATCTCAGCGCATCATAATAACAACCACTCGCAAGGACTGTTACCGCTCACTTCAGACACACACACACACACCCACTACACAGTACCACACACAGTCTGCACAGAGCTCACTGAGCTTTTCCGCAGTATTTTAAAAGTACTTACTTGTACGATACTTTGAAAAGTACGTATGATACATACTTCTCATCTTAGGAGCTCAGCAATCAATTCTAAACGGCTAGCTGATTTTGATAAAATAACATCGTGATCCGGCGTGATCAATTATTTTAATTGAAGTACAACGGCTGCACCCCTGACTTTTTAACTAAAGATAAGAGACGTATATATTAGGACATTTGTAATCTGATAAAATTTAAAGTTTTGGTGTGTGAATTAAAGCTTGGTGTGAGAATTAGTGTGGAAATAAAAGAGATATTTATTTTATTACCTATATCATATATCTTAATTAAGTGACAGTATTATTATTTTAACTACAGATTATATTATTTCAGTTAGTATCGACATGAATGTTACGATTGCAGTTTTATTTATTTTTATATTATATTGTATTCAATAAACCGGTTTCAAAGCCCTTTAGTGTGGCCCTCGGGTCTTTAAAACATAATAGGTGAGGTCACGTGGTACCGACATGCTTCAGAGGACAGAAAGAGACTCAGAATTTTAACCACAAGTCTAGATTCTTTTCATAAATATAGACTTGTGGTTACAATTCTGAGTGTTTCATACTATTATATCACAGAATTATCCTGCTGTTGAAATATTGACAGAAAGGAAAGGTGTTTAGAAGTCGAATTGCTACAACTTCAGAATTCAGATTGCATAACAATTGTATAACTTCAGATTGGAGGACGGTCTAGGGAAGGATATAGGAATTAAGCTTACTTCACAGCTATACTCTACAAAAGTACCTTCAGCGAATAGGACGTCAACATCCATCTTGTTTATATCAATGATTGTGGACATTACTTTTGTATTCTTTGTAATTTAATTCTCTGACGTTGTATTCTCTTAATACATTGCGTTTGCTAGAATTCTTGTGTGTAAGCTTTAGAACTCTAGATGTCAAACACAGATTTACGGCCAAGTGTCAACCCGGGGTTTGAAGCACGTTATACCAGTTTCAACTTTTATCAGACTGATCCATCGATTCAGCTATGACATTTTTAGTTCTGATTAAACAAATGGTTTTTATTACATTGTTAATTACATTAAAATACAGTTTGATGTTTAAAACGGGGCATATGAAAGTTTTTTATCTTGTAAAACCTCGCCTAATCGACGAAGTTACAGTCAGATCGAAAATTAGAAATAGCTTATTTTTAAAAGCAGCTGAAAGATTCGTTGGAATTTATTACACTGACCATGACATAAGATCCAAATTCCAAACTGGGTGTTAGGGAAATGCAGCGGACTAAATGTTATTTTACATCTTCCCCGTCACTGATCACTGTCACATTTAAAGCTGCAAATGGTGTATTTGTTATGCCAACTAACACCAGAACAAACAGAGAACTTGTTAAAGTTCAAATTTAGCCCCGTAAAACTCAATGTATGTTATGTAACGGCTAATGTAATGTTCTTACAGGATCGTTGACATATTACGTAATCACGTCCTGAACAACGTTTAATTTGACCCCCCCCCCCCCCCCCCCCCCTCTCGGTGATTCCGTATTATGTGAACGACCGCTAATATGCTTACATCGAGGTAGTTCTTACTGATTTATAGCAACATTTATCATAGCAGCTTGTTTTTAAATCACTGTTTCTTATGATACAAGTTCCGTTACCATTCGTATCACACATAGTAATAAATGACGTATAGTAGTATTACTCGTCGGGAAAACCCTGGTTCTTTTTGTAGTAATTGTGCGGAACGCGCTTGCGCCGAATCAAAAATATGTGTGAAAGTTTTTCTTGCGCGCATTTACTGTGACATAATGTGTCACGTGATAATCTGAAACTTTGAATAGTCATAACACCAAGAGATAGGCAACAGAGGTAAATCTGGCTCCGTAATATCGTCAAGTAGGTATCTAGGAGTTTTGTGAATATTTTGAAATCAAATTCGAGCGGGTATTTTGTGATTTAGCGAGGTGCGCGGAAAAAAAGCAAATAACCGTCAGCACATGGCCATACAGCCTCCATAGTGGCATCTGAGATCGGCTATCGATGCGGCACTACTTACTAGTCCATAAATCAATCATCCCAGGAGCCTAGGGGCTCCAGCAGAAGAGTGCCTTATTTGCCCGTAAGAGCCTCTACTACTGTATCGTTGAAACTCTGTACTATAGTGTTACGACAGAATCCGCATAAAGTTAAAGTTGCAAACTTATATTTTGTATTCGGCCCAAAATGTTTTTACGAGGCGAACATTAATTGCTTTTAAAATAGATCCAGCCGGTAAGGTTTAATTGGGGGGGGGGGGGGGGGGGGGGGGGGGGGGGGGGGGGGGGGGGGGAGAGCATGCTTGGGCATTTTCTTGTTAGACTGAGTCACAACTACAATTGTGAACGCCGAACGCCGCAAGTTTTGGCCTCGCCGCCGCCGATTATGACAAAACGCGGCGGCGTGCATCACTGCTCTGATCTTTAACCAATTAGGGTTAACTTCACACGCCGGAGCCGGAGGTATCATAGTCTATTCTCCGTCACAAACACTTAAACACAAGGTCCAATGTCCATCCAATATCCAATATCAGTATTGTACGTCTGACTATTCGTATATAGGAATGTAAAATTGGCCAGGTAAGATTATTGGAAATGGAATCGCGCAGCTAGTACGCCTACACTGAATCAAGGGCAGTAAAGCCTTATGTTTCGTGAAAATCATACTCATAGTCAAGAGTGAAATGCGCGGCGCCGAATCTTAGTCCAAACAATTCACAGTTATTGTTATGGAATTTGACCAAAACCATAATCATATGTCTCTCTTAGAGAGAGAGAGAGAGAGAGAGAGAGAGAGAGAGAGAGAGAGAGAGAGAGAGAGAGAGAGAGAGAGAGAGAGAGAGAGAGAGAGAGAGAGAGAGAGAGAGAGAGAGAGAGAGAGAGGAGAGAGAGAGAGAGAGAGAGAGAGAGAGAGAGAGAGAGAGAGAGAGAGAGAGAGAGAGAGAGAGAGAGAGAGAGAGAGAGAGAGAGAGAGAGAGAGAGAGAGAGAGAGAGAGAGAGAGGAGAGAGAGAGAGAGAGAGAGAGAGAGAGAGAGAGAGAGAGAGAGAGAGAGAGAGAGAGAGAGGAGAGAGAGAGAGAGAGAGAGAGGAGAGAGAGAGAGAGAGAGAGAGAGAGAGAGAGAGGAGAGAGAGAGAGAGAGAGAGAGAGAGAGAGAGAGAGAGAGAGAGAGAGGAGAGAGAGAGAGAGAGAGAGAGAGAGAGAGAGAGAGAGAGAGAGAGAGAGAGAGAGAGAGAGAGAGAGAGAGAGAGAGAGAGAGAGAGAGAGAGAGAGAGAGAGAGAGAGAGAGAGAGAGAGAGAGAGAGAGAGAGAGAGAGAGAGAGAGAGAGAGAGAGAGAGAGAGAGAGGAGAGAGAGAGAGAGAGAGAGAGAGAGAGAGAGAGAGAGAGAGAGAGAGAGAGAGAGAGAGAGAGAGGAGAGAGAGAGAGAGAGAGAGAGAGAGAGGAGAGAGAGAGGAGAGAGAGAGAGAGAGAGAGAGAGAGAGAGAGAGATCTTTATATTACTTTATTAGGAATAATGACTCCCACGTGGCACAAGGATGATTCCCACGTGCTACATTTCTTCCCATTCACAGTGACGCAATACCAAAACGTGTCACAGATATTTGCCCACGTGCCACATTAAATTTATATATTCTCGTTCCTATAATGCACATGACTTGTCGTGGGTCGGTGACCCTCTCTTTGTCACTCCGTTATTTTCTGTTTTTTCTTTTCCGTTATATAGTCCGATCTATAACGTCACTAGTTACATTAAGACAATAATTATAGCTGTACCATGTTTTCATTGTATTTTTTACGATTTAATGAGTTGAGCACACGTTCCGTATGTTAGCTGCAGTTCAGGGCTCGATCAGTTAAACTAAATTATCTGCGCCGGATAGGTATCTCATATCTAATTTTTGGAAAGTGGTCCGGTTTCCAAAAATGTGGTCGGATATTTAAGTAATAATCATTATATATTACAATTACCAATTAACATTAACATAAATGAAATATTGTCTCTGTCTTGTCTCCGAAATTATAGCGCTAGAAACCAGGCAGCAGCTAAGCCTAAACTAGAGCGGTATTTGGAAACCTGTTTATCTGTTAGTTATTTCTAGTGACGATTGGGTTAATCAGTTGTCGTTTCAAAGTTAATTAGGTAGACTATGATTGGGTTTTAAATTATTTTCCCGAGCTACCATGTCTAGGAAAAGTCCAAGTTGGGTTCATTCATCCGGTATTATAGGACAAATTATCCCTCAACTTGACTCACGAGCTAACCGTGACCAGGGTTCCTCCATCACACTCTCAATTCTTGGTTGACGATGTCAACCCATCGAGATGGTTGCTCTGCGAAGCAGAGCAACGATCGGCGAAGCAAGAATGCTAGTTCGCGCGGCGCGTCGAAGCGGCGAAGTCCTCCAATCTCAATTCATGATCCTCGTAACCACTGAACTTCATTCAGTAACCCGATGTTAATCAAGGTTTATCCTGGACTCATTTTGTCACGTGATACCGAAGCTGCGCTGTGTTTGAAACACGTGTCTGTATACTGAGTACCAAGGCCTAGTGACCGAGACATAATATAATTCCTTTCGACGTGTCTCTTGTTTTGCTCCCTATCTACCAGGGTCCCAGCCAATTGATAAAACTTTAGTAATCATTAATATAATAATATGATATCTTAAAGTCGCTATGAGTTTTATGTTTCATTTAATCAAAACTTACCATTCAGGGGGGAAAATGTTATGAAAACTTATACAGCGAAAACAGTGGACAAGTTTGCCAGCTGACTATTTTTTACATATTGTGAGTAGTAGAAATGTATATCTTTTTAATTAAACATTCCTCATGTGCAATAAAACACATGCATTATTTGTCTACTATTTCATATTTCCAAAAAGATATTTCTCGCTCAGTATCCTTTTAAAATAATAATCTTACTATATATAATTATAAAGCGAGACGATATATATGGATGGATCCGTACCATTTTACTGACACCAGAGCATCAACTTTAACGCGACTTTCCGCAAAAACCGTAAAAGATAGGATTTTAGAGCCCAAAATTTGGACCCCCAAGTGGTGTTAAAAACGCGAATTAAATAGGCAATAATTATTTTAGTCTATTGAGTCTTGACACCATTTTATGGTTAAACGGGTTCCTTCTAGTAACACTAAAGGGTGGAGCGAAACAAGGGTAGTTACTAGGGTAGTTACTAGGGTAGTTACTAGGGTAGTTACTAGGGTAGTCACTAGGGTGGTTACTAGGGTAGTTACTAGGGTAGTTACTGGGGTAGTTACTAGGGTGGTTACTAGGGTAGTTACTAGGGTAGTTACTAGGGTAGTTACTAGGGTAGTTACTAGGGTGGTTACTAGGGTAGTTACTAGGGTAGTTACTGGGATAGTTACTAGGGTTGTTACTAGGGTAGTTACTGGGGTAGTTACTAGGGTAGTTACTAGGGTGGTTACTAGGGTAGTTACTGGGGTAGTTACTAGGGTAGTTACTGGGGTAATTACTAGGGTGGTTACTAGGGTAGTTACTAGGGTGGTTACTAGGGTAGTTACTGGGGCAGTTACTAGGGTAGTTACTAGGGTGGTTGCTAGGGCTGTTACTACTTTACTAGGGTATCCAACAGCCTCAGCAGCAATAACACTAAAGTTTTCTCCTTCCTAAAAGCTTATTGTGGCGTATCTATCAGTGCTTGTCGTGTCAGAGTATTTGGAGGCCCTGAAATCTGTAAATACGTACATAATTTATATAATTACATGTGTTTTAGGCTCCCGTTTGCAAAAACATGGATCTTGTCGATCTCCCCTTACTCTCTCTCCCACACTCCCTTTCTTTACACACATGCTGACCACACCCTCTTTTAGTGTAGTACTGACTAGAGACTCTAGAAGTAGAGCAGCGCCCTACGAATTAATATGGTTACCCAATTACAATATGCTGGCAGAAATTAGCGCTAAAAATTCATCTTACAGTCGGTTTACTGTTAATGGCGCACTACCATTACCTACCTAGACCAAAACTTCTAGAAGGTAGACATTTTAAACTTTTCACTTAAACAACAAAGTTAAGTCATATCATACGAGGTGCCGTAAAGTTTACATCCATGGTAATTCGTGAACGGTTGCTAATATCGGGGAAAATTTTGTAGTTTATAACCTACCGTAACAGAACGCATGCCGAGTTAGACTCGTTGACGGATGATGATTAATCACTTTACACTCGACTGTCACGTGACTTCTTCAACCCGTTCTCTAGCTGGCCCTGAACGACTATTCAAAACCCTGACCCTCTAATCTGATCCCAACCCTAACCCTAACCCAATCCTTAACAAAAGCATATGCTGAAACCTTAACAGTTAACCCTAACGAGAAATTAGACTAACTTCCTTTTACGGTCATATCACGTGATCGAGACAGTTTTTCGCCAATATCTGTCCAGGGAGCATTTTAACCCAAGTCAGGGGGGTGATTCGGAATCAGGGTCCGAAAATACATCGATTCAAGTTGGTTTCAACTGTCGGGGGCACTTTTAGAACAATCTCGAAGATCGACTGTAGAGTGATTTAGCACGCTCGCTCGTTGACGGTCTAAATCTAATATTTGGAACAAATATTTTACGAGTATATCACCCGTTTAGGGAAACTGCCAGCTAGTCAATTTTGGAAATAAATGTTGCTTTTTAAAGATTTATAAAAGACACTATTTGAGGCGACGAAAAGTTCGCAATTTGCTTTAAAAGTACGTAACGTGCGTACTAACCAACTATGGCCGTTCGTATATCAAGGACCGCGAAGATATATATATATATAATATATATATATATATATATATATATATATATATATATATTAATTTGAATAACCGTCCGCAAATGCAATATGATACTGATAATGAATCCGGTCGCTCGCTTTTTCCATTCATTTACAATTGTAATAGAAAACCCACTTCCCAATACACGACTTCCGATGAGACTTAATGCCTGGAAAATAGTAAAGGGGGTATAATAGTATAGAATGTATAACTATTATAAGAGCCGCGGTCATCAGGTCATGCTTGCCAGAATGACTGTGATAACCATGACATGATTTTATTATTATAATTATAGTCGCTATGACTTATGAGTTTTATGTTTCATCTAATCTCAACTAACATGATTCAGGGTGGACATCCTATGAAAACAGCTGCAGTGAAAAACAGTAGACAAATTTGCCAGCTCAGTACGGTTTTAACAAATTGTGAGTAGTAGAAGATTTATAATTTTTTAATTATACATTCCTCATGTGCAATAAAACCAATTTTATGCATTATTCGTCTACTATTTCCAAAAATATATTTTCCTTTTGAAATGGTAATTTAAGTGCGGTCCAAACTCTATAGAACCCGAGACTCTAGGGAAGCGACCTACAAACCAGGGCTCTAGGGCGTGGAGACTTGAATTGATAAATACATAAATACACATTAGTTATACAAGTATCAAGAGTAATTAGAATTTTTGAATTGAAATCATATCTCTTGGTAGAACTAGAAAGCCTGGTAACACAGTCAAATAGCTTTAAGTTTAAACAAACCGTGTTCATTCTCATCATTTTACTTTACATTACGCATCAACATTTTTGCTCTCTAATCTTTTCACAAGTGCACTGACTTGCTGATAAGAAACTGCTTGATTTTATCATGTCCGGCCATCTTAACAAGTCGACCTCTGCTGCTAACAAGACTCCTGCTTCTAAGAAGACTCCTGCTAGGAAGAACAGTATCACTAAACCCGCTGCCTCCGGGTCACCCTCAGACACGGAGGCACCCTCCCTCGGTATGTTGGGCTTTGGTGTGCCATCAATTTACACGTTTTGCGCTAAGACATGTTTAAACGTTTTACCTACCCTCTCCAAAGAAGATATTGATTTCGAGTACAACAGGCTCCGTCTTATTGACTCCACATTTAATGGCAAGGCCACTAAGCCTGACACCAAACAAGCCGCCATTAAACAGTATCTAACACGTCAAATAGTCGTTGATTTAGATCAATCCATGAATAGTCTAACTGCGGCTGCCAACTTACTTTCATGTACTGTTCAAAATTCTTAGCGATGTCTTAGTAAAATGGGTAGATAACAACGGATTAGCTCTAAATCTTAAAAAAACGAATTATATGATCTTTTCTCGGCAAAGAAACCTTATTTATCGCGATGTAGTAATTTCTGGTGTCACAATCGAAAGAAAAACAGAAGCCCGTTTCTTAGGAGTTATAATAGATAACAAACTGAACTGGTCGCAACATATTTCTGCCATGAAAATGAAAATGGCCAGATACATTGGAGTCATGTACAAACTTAAAAAATATTTGCCTCTGGAAGCACGTTTACAAATATATCACAGCTTTGTGCAGTCTCACCTTAATTACTGCTCCCTCGTCTGGGGTTTTGCTGCCAAATCCCATATAGAAACACTATTTGTAAAACAAAAAATGGGTCTTAGAGCAATACTACCAGGTTTTGTTAATTACTGGTACAAAGATGGTACACCACCAGCAAGTACCAAGTCTGGTTTCTATGTACACAAAATATTGACAGTTCATAGTATCATCGTAAAGAACGCATTAGTTTTTATACATAAGCTGAAAAACTTTCCAAGTTTAGTGCCTCCCTCTATAAAGAAAACAATACCTAACAGTGCACCAATATTTAACGTCGCCAATCCGGATTCAAGTCTTACAACTACATGGTCAGATGAATATGGTAAATACCCTTACAATAATTCAGTATTCTACAAAGGTCCACTACTAGCAATAAACAGATATAGTGTCGCAGCAACTTCCTTGCCAAGTCTATTCAACCTTAACATCTACAAAAGGTGCATAAAAAACATGCTCATTGATCAACAAAACGAGGGCATTGCAGACGAATGGCCCAACTTTATGTTATACAATATAACGGGACTAAGGAAATCAGAGCGCAACATCAACCGCAATGCTAATAATATCTCTGTCTCATAAGCACGCCATCACAGAATCAATTTCACTGCATACCATCTCAGTTACACTGCCATCAATTCGCCAGCAATAACGGCATGACGCTATGCGAATATGATAATTTTAACTAAAGGCAACTTTATATGTGCTCAGCTATGCTTTGTTCGACAAGCTCCATGATATACATATTAATCGTTTTAATGAGATCTAATCTTTAGTGAGTTTTGAGTTTGAATTGATAACACTTATTATATATATTATTTTTTGAGTAAACATTGGCTGGTACTTCGGGCCGGTCCCCAACAAAAAAAAAAAATTAAAATCATTAATGGGACACATTGCACTGCACTATGAAAAGCAACACTGAACTGCAAAACACAGCTAGTGTAAAATAGAAGGCGGCAACCAGAGTCCAGACTATTCCTTCCGGGGCGTGCCAATGATAAACTTTGCCTGCTCACAAGTACTACACACTACACACTGCACTAATTTAGTCTTTAAGCGACTAAAAACTATAATTACTCACGATAATTAAGTATCGAACACTAGTCTAACACGATAGATACAATATCGTAGTGTAAATAGTAGTATCGTATGCGTAAATAGAAAGGGTACAATATCAAGTATTGTATAATAATGTGAATTACGAAGGTACAATAATTGGTATTTGGTATCGTACACAAATATAACCGCAAACATCTACAAGCAGTACTTGCTGTGAAGGGGCGTAGGATACGATAACACAAGTATCGCTCTACTCTAAATCTTATACACAATTAGGTGTAGTATTACTTTCAATTCGATCTTACACGCAATTTAGTGCTGTAATACTTTCAATACGATCCAATGAATTATATCGAATTCGATTCCTAAACTACAGGGTGGCCCAAAAGTAACTGCCCACACGCAACCCTTTATTAACTCACGTAATTCTTCTTAGAATTGCACAGAAATTTCAGAGATTAGATAGGTACTAGTAGGAACCCGTATTATAATATAACCCTAAACGGTGTCAAGACTCAAGATACTAAAATAATTATTACCTATTTAATTGGCGTTTTTGGCACCACTTGGGGGTCCAAATTTTCGGCTCTAAAATCATTATTCCTTGGCCAATTTTTTATTTTTTCATGCTGATTTCGAGGCCATTAAAGCATTTGACCCAGCCAAAAAAGTTTCAGTTGTACCTATATCTTTTACGGTTTTTGCAGAAAGTCGCGTTAAAGTTGATGCCGTGGTGTCAGTAAAATGGCACAGATATATATTGTCTCGCTTTATATATAGTAAGATGGGTCAAACTTAGATTTCCTGAAAGTTTCGTCAAATTTGATAAATTACAGTGGGTGTGGCACGCCACTCCCTTTTTTTCACTATTGTCACCATAACGTGGAAAACGCTTCAGCTAGGAACTTCAAAATTTCTAGACACATTTAGCTTGATAATTGAAGTGCTTTCCCGAAATTTCAAGTTAGTTGTTCACAATTTAATCAAGTTATGACCCTTTTAAGAACTTGTAGATACGTGATCCAGCACTAAATCAGTGATATCTTAACTCAATCAATGCCCTGATTGGCACTGCTTATAGGACAGCAACCGAAGTAAAGCGCTATAAGTATAACGCAAATTTCTTCGGTTTTAAGGAACGTCAATATCAGTATTCACTCAAATTGATCAGATCGTCATCCACCAACAGGCTCGTTACCGCCTAATGAGTCTCATTGTTGCTCGCTAGCGAATAGTCCCGATGAGATTACTGATTAAAGTTATTAAAGGGTTGCATGTGGGCAGTTACACAACACTGAACTGTAAAACACAACACTAAACTATAAAACACAACACTGAACTGTAAATCACAACACTGAACTAAAAACACAACACTGAACTGTAAATCACAACACTGAACTATAAAACACAACACTGAACTGTAAATCACAACACTTAACTGTAAAACACAACACTGAACTGTAAAACACAACACTGAACTGTAAAACACAACACTAAACTATAAAACACAGCACTGAACTGTAAATCATAGCACTGAACTGTAAATCATAACACTGAACTGTAAAACACAACACTGAACTGTAAAACACAACACTGAACTGTATAACACAACACTTAACTGTAAATCACAACACTGAACTGTAAAACACAACACTGAACTGTAAAACACAACACTGAACTGTAAAACACAACACTGAACTGTAAAACACAACACTGAACTGTAAAACACAACACTTAACTGTAAATCACAACACTGAACTGTAAAACACAACACTGAACTGTAAAACACAACACTGAACTGTAAATCACAACACTGAACTGTAAAACACGACACTGAACTGTAAAACACAACACTGAACTGTAAAACACAACACTGCACTGTAAACACAACACTGAACAGTAAAACACAACACTGAACTGTGAAACACAACACTGAACTGTAAAACACAACACTTAACTGCAAATCACAACACTGAACTGAAAAACACAACACTGAACTGTAAATCACAACACTAAACTATAAAACACAGCACTGAACTGTAAATCATAGCACTGAACTGTAAATCATAACGCTGAACTGTAAAACACAGCACTGAAATGTAAAACACAACACTGAACTGTAAAACACAGCACTGAACTGTAAAACACAACACTGAACTGTAAAACACAACACTGAACTGTAAAACACAGCACTGAACTGCAAATCACAACACTGAACTGTAAAACACAACACTGAACTATAAAACACAACACTAAACTATACAGGCATGGATCCAGCTGAGAATTTTTGGGGGGTTGAAGTGGCGCGAAGCGCCACCGAAGCAGCCACGGCAGGGGTTCGGGGGCGCAGCCCCCGAAAATTTTTGGGGTTTTTTCGCGCTATATATGTCGATTGCTGTTTCCATTAAGGGATTTCTTCTGTAATCTGTTTCTAGAGTAAAACAACAATGTTAATTAACAGTTCAATCTCAACCATTTTAGAATATAGGGTTACAAAAAAAAAACAGTTAAATTATTTCAAAACCACTCTTCTGGGTTTTTCTGCAAATTTGTCTATAACTTTACTAATGTCTATTTCCTTCGTCAAAACCTTTTCATGGCTAAGTAGGACCAGGTCACTTGTTCTACCATCTGAGAGTTTGGATCTCTTAGCTGTCTTCACTCTATTCATAGTGCTGAAAGACCTCTCAGCTTCGCAGCTCGTGGGGGCAATGGTTCTCTTCAGATCCATAAGCTTCATGATGTTAGGGGTGCTGGCAGGATTTGGTAGAATGTCTGCCATTTGCATTTTCAAGCACTCAGCCCTTAGTATCGAGGGCCTGATCCCTAGAACGCTATAGTGCTCAATCAAGGCATTCAAGATGTCAAAATTGAGCCAATCAGATGAAGAAGGGTCAAGTCCGCTCAGTCCTTTCAATAACTCCATGTTGCTAGCACTGAACCTCTCGGAGAGGTATCTGCCCACGATCCCGCACACCTGCTTTGTCTTCTTCTTAATCCTAGTTTGGGTTGTCTCTGAGTCAGCAGTTGATTTTGCACAGAAGTCAGTGAGAAAACATGCTCTAAAATGCTCTAAAATGCTTTCCTCAATTTTGTTTTTAGAAAATTCTGGGGGGGTGATCACCCCCCTTCACACCCCCCCTGGATCCATGCCTGAAACTATAAAACACAGCACTGAACTGTAAATCATAGCACTGAACTGTAAATCATAACACTGAACTGTAAAACACAGCACTGAACTGTAAAACACAACACTGAACTGTAAAACATAACACTGAACTGTAAAACACAACACGGAACTGTAAAACACAACACTGAACTGTAAATCACAACACTAAACTATAAAACACAGCACTGAACTGTAAATCATAGCACTGAACTGTAAATCATAACACTGAACTGTAAAACACAGCACTGAAATGTAAAACACAACACTGAACTGTAAAACACAGCACTGAACTGTAAAACACAACACTGAACTGTAAAACACAACACTGAACTGTAAAACACAACACTGAACTGTAAATCACAACACTAAACTATAAAACACAGCACTGAACTGTAAAACACAGCACTGAACTGTAAAACACAACACTGAACTGAAAAACACAACACTGAACTGTAAATCACAACACTAAACTATAAAACACAGCACTGAACTGTAAATCATAGCACTGAACTGTAAATCATAACACTGAACTGTAAAACACAGCACTGAAATGTAAAACACAACACTGAACTGTAAAACACAACACTGAACTGTAAAACACAACACTGAACTGTAAAACACAACACTGAACTGTATAACACAACACTGAACTGTAAAACACAGCACTGAACTGTAAATCATAACACTGAACTGTAAAACACAGCACTGAACTGTAAAACACAACACTGAACTGTAAAACACAACACTGAACTGTAAAACACAACACTGAACTGTAAAACACAACACGGAACTGTAAAACACAACACTGAACTGTAAAACACAGCACTGAACTGTAAATCATAGCACTGAACTGTAAAACACAACACTGAACTGTAAAACACAACACTGAACTGTAAACACAACACTGAACTGTAAATCACAACACTAAACTGTATAACACAACACTGAACTGTAAAACACAACACTGAACTGTAAAACATAGCACTGAACTGTAAAACACAACACTGAACTGTAAAACACAGCACTAAACTGTAAAACACAACACTGAACTGTAAAACACAACACTGAACTGTAAATCACAACACTGAACTGTAAAACACAACACTGAACTGTAAAACACAACACTGAACTGTAAATCACAACACTGAACTGTTTAACACAACACTGAACTGTAAAACACAACACTGAACTGTAAAACACAACACTGAATTGTAAAACACAACACTGAATTGTAAAACACAACACTGCACTGTAAAACACAACACTGAACTGTAAAACACAACACTGAACTGTAAAACACAACACTGAACTGTAAAACACAACACTTAACTGCAAATCACAACACTGAACTGAAAAACACAACACTGAACTGTAAATCACAACACTAAACTATAAAACACAGCACTGAACTGTAAATCATAGCACTGAACTGTAAATCATAACACTGAACTGTAAAACACAGCACTGAAATGTAAAACACAACACTGAACTGTAAAACACAACACTGAACTGTAAAACACAACACGGAACTGTAAAACACAACACTTAACTGTAAAACACAACACTGAACTATAAAACACAGCACTGAACTGTAAAACACAACACTGAACTATAAAACACAGCACTGAACTGTAAAACATAGCACTGAACTGTAAAACACAGCACTGAACTGTAAAACACAACACTAAACTATAAAACACAGCACTGAACTGTAAATCATAGCACTGAACTGTAAAACACAACACGGAACTGTAAAACACAACACTGAACTGTAAAACACAACACTGAACTGTAAAACACAACACTGAACTGTAAATCATAGCACTGAACTGTAAAACACAACACTGAACTGTAAAACACAACACTGAACTGCAAATCACAACACTAAACTATAAAACACAGCACTGAACTGTAAATCATAGCACTGAACTGTAAATCATAACACTGAACTGTAAAACACAACACGGAACTGTAAAACACAACACTGAACTGTATAACACAACACTGAACTGTAAACACAGCACTGAACTGTAAATCACAACACTGAACTGTAAAACACAACACTGAACTGTAAATCATAGCACTGAACTGTAAATCATAACACTGAACTGTAAAACACAGCACTGAACTGTAAAACACAACACTGAACTGTAAATCACAACACTGAACTGTAAAACACAGCACTGAACTGTAAAACACAGCACTAAACTATAAAACACAGCACTGAACTGTAAATCATAGCACTGAACTGTAAATCATAACACTGAACTGTAAAACACAGCACTGAAATGTAAAACACAACACTGAACTGTAAAACACAGCACTGAACTGTAAAACACAACACTGAACTGTAAAACACAACACTGAACTGTAAAACACAACACTGAACTGTAAACACAGCACTGAACTGTAAAACACAGCACTAAACTATAAAACACAGCACTGAACTGTAAAACACAACACTGAACTGTAAAACACAGCACTGGACTGTAAAACACAACACTGAACTGTAAATCACAACACTGAACTGTAAATCACAACACTGAACTGTAAAACACAACACTGCACTGTAAAACACAACACTTAACTGCAAATCACAACACTGAACTGAAAAACACAACACTGAACTGTAAATCACAACACTAAACTATAAAACACAGCACTGAACTGTAAATCATAGCACTGAACTGTAAATCATAACACTGAACTGTAAAACACAGCACTGAAATGTAAAACACAACACTGAACTGTAAAACACAACACTGAACTGTAAAACACAACACGGAACTGTAAAACACAACACTTAACTGTAAAACACAACACTGAACTATAAAACACAGCACTGAACTGTAAAACACAACACTGAACTATAAAACACAGCACTGAACTGTAAAACATAGCACTGAACTGTAAAACACAGCACTGAACTGTAAAACACAACACTAAACTATAAAACACAGCACTGAACTGTAAATCATAGCACTGAACTGTAAAACACAACACGGAACTGTAAAACACAACACTGAACTGTAAAACACAACACTGAACTGTAAAACACAACACTGAACTGTAAATCATAGCACTGAACTGTAAAACACAACACTGAACTGTAAAACACAACACTGAACTGCAAATCACAACACTAAACTATAAAACACAGCACTGAACTGTAAATCATAGCACTGAACTGTAAATCATAACACTGAACTGTAAAACACAACACGGAACTGTAAAACACAACACTGAACTGTATAACACAACACTGAACTGTAAACACAGCACTGAACTGTAAATCACAACACTGAACTGTAAAACACAACACTGAACTGTAAATCATAGCACTGAACTGTAAATCATAACACTGAACTGTAAAACACAGCACTGAACTGTAAAACACAACACTGAACTGTAAATCAGTAAATCACAACACTGAACTGTAAAACACAGCACTGAACTGTAAAACACAGCACTAAACTATAAAACACAGCACTGAACTGTAAATCATAGCACTGAACTGTAAATCATAACACTGAACTGTAAAACACAGCACTGAAATGTAAAACACAACACTGAACTGTAAAACACAGCACTGAACTGTAAAACACAACACTGAACTGTAAAACACAACACTGAACTGTAAAACACAACACTGAACTGTAAAACATAGCACTTAACTGTAAAACATAGCACTGAACTGTACAACACAGTTACTGACTACTAACATTTCTCTAGGTAACTACCAGTAAAGATGTTTTACCAGAGCACTGAACTGTACGTAGCAGCTAAGCAGGGTAACACAGATGTTGTAAAAGAGCTGTTAACACACCCTGATATTGATGTTAATAAGGGGGGTGAGTCAGGTACACCACTGTACATAGCAGCTAAGCAGGGTAACACAGATGTTGTAAAAGAGCTGTTAACACACCCTGATATTGATGTTAATAAGGGGGGTGAGTTAGGTACACCACTGTACATAGCAGCTAAGCAGGGTAACACAGATGTTGTAAAAGAGCTGTTAACACACCCTGATATTGATGTTAATAAGGGTGGTGAGTTAGGTACACCACTGTACATAGCAGCTAAGCAGGGTAACACAGATGTTGTAAAAGAGCTGTTAACACACCCTGATATTGATGTTAATAAGGGGGGTGAGTCAGGTACACCACTGTACATAGCAGCTAAGCAGGGTAACACAGATGTTGTAAGAGAGCTGTTAACACACAGTGATATTGATGTTAATGAGGGGGATGAGTCAGGTACACCACTGTACAGAGCAGCTGATTGGGGTCGCACAGAGGTTGTAAAAGAGCTGTTAACACACCGTGATATTGATGTTAATAAGGGGGATGAGTCAAGTACACCACTGTACAGAGCAGCTAAGTGGGGTTGCACAGAGGTTGTAAAAGAGCTGTTAACACACAGTAATATTGATGTTAACAAGGGTGGTGAGTTAGGTACAGCACTGTACGGAGCAGCTGAGAAGGGTCACACAGATGTTGTAAAAGAGCTGTTAACACACCGTAATATTGATGTTAATAAGGGTGGTGAGTTAGGTACACCACTGTACATAGCAGCTCTGCTGGGTCACACAGACGTTGTAAAAGAGCTGTTAACACACCGTGATATTGATGTTAACGAGGAGGGTGAGTGGGGTACACCACTGTGTATAGCAGCTGAGAAGGGTCGCACAGATGTTGTAAAAGAGCTGTTAACACACCGTGATATTGATGTTAATAAGGAGGGTGAGTTAGGTACACCACTGTACATAGCAGCTGATCAGGGTCACACAGTAATTGTAAAAGAGCTGTTAACACACCGTGATATTGATGTTAATAAGGGGGATGAGTTAGGTACACCACTGTACAGAGCAGCTAAGTGGGGTTGCACAGAGGTTGTAAAAGAGCTGTTAACACACAGTAATATTGATGTTAACAAGGGTGGTGAGTTAGGTACAGCACTGTACGGAGCAGCTGAGAAGGGTCACACAGATGTTGTAAAAGAGCTGTTAACACACCGTAATATTGATGTTAATAAGGGGGATGAGTCAAGTACACCACTGTACATAGCAGCTAAGCAGGGTAACACAGATGTTGTAAAAGAGCTGTTAACACACCGTGATATTGATGTTAACGAGGAGGGTGAGTTAGGTACACCACTGTACATAGCAGCTGCTAGGCGTAACAAAGACGTTGTAAAACAGCTGTTAACACACCGTGATATTGATGTTAATAAGGGTGGTGAGTTAGGTACACCACTGTACATAACAGCTAGAGAGGGTCACGCAGAAGTTGTGGAAGAGCTGTTAACACACCGTGATATTGATGTTAATAAGGAGGATGCGTCAGGTACACCACTGTCCATAGCAGCTGAGAAGGGTCACACAGAGGTTGTAAAAGAGCTGTTAACACACCGTGATATTGCTGTTAACGAGGAGGGTGAGTTAGGTACACCACTGTACATAGCAGCTGCTAGGCGTAACAAAGACGTTGTAAAACAGCTGTTAACACACCGTGATATTGATGTTAATAAGGGTGGTGAGTTAGGTACACCACTGTACATAACAGCTAGAGAGGGTCACGCAGAAGTTGTGAAAGAGCTGTTAACACACCGTGATATTGATGTTAATAAGGAGGATGCGTCAGGTACACCACTGTCCATAGCAGCTGAGAAGGGTCACACAGAGGTTGTAAAAGAGCTGTTAACACACCGTGATATTGATGTTAATAAGGGTGGTGAGTTAGGTACACCACTGTACATAACAGCTAGAGAGGGTCACACAGAGGTTGTAAAAGAGCTGTTAACACACAGTGATATTGATGTTAATAAGGAGGATGCGTCAGGTACACCACTGTACATAGCAGCTGATCGGGGTCACACAGAGGTTGTAAAAGAGCTGTTAACACACAGTAATATTGCTGTTAACAAGGTGGGTAAATATGGTACACCACTGTACAGAGCAGCTGTAAAGTATCACACAGAGGTTGTAAAAGAGCTGTTAACACACAATAAAATTGATGTTAACGAGGAGGGTAAGTGGGGTACACCACTGTGTGTAGCAGCTGAGAAGGGTAACGCAGATGTTGTAAAAGAGCTGTTAACACACAGTAATATTGATGTTAAATTGGAGAATAAGGAAGGTGACACTCCCCTCCTGAAAGCTGCTAGGATGGGTTATTTGGACATTGTGAAACAAATGTGCCAAGTCGATGGCGTGGATAAGAACCACGTTAATAATTTAGGTTATACCCCCTTTCTCGCTGCTGCTGAGCAAGGTCATGCTTATATAGTTAAATACCTTCACCAATTAGGCTGTGTCAATATGGAGCAAGTGGATAACAACCTGGCAATATATGTGTTCTGTAAAAGCTCCGTATTCAAAACACTTGTTGAAATCTTCATAAATCCAGACGTTCATGACACACAGTTATCAAGTTTATTGAATGTATTGTACGTAAGTTTGCAGGCTAACATCAAATGTGACTGTGGTGAGGTCGAGTCTCCAGATCCCATCTATGTAAGCCTTCCAAATGAGGTCGAGTCTCCAGACAGTCCAAAGAAATCCAAAGAAGCAAAGAAGTCTAAAGAAGCGATCGAAAAAGACGCTTTTAAAAAGTTTCTTCGAGAAACATTGGGAGGGGCTGTTTTCGAAAGATTTTCCGCCAAAATAGATAGAATTTCAGATGAAGGATATGAAGGAGACATTGATGCAAAACTTGTAGCAAAAAGTATTGCTAAAACCTATTCGAAGAAGAACGATCAAGGATGCTGCGCTCCCATAGAAAATGTTAAAGAGGACATCGAAAAGTGTCTGTTTTCTGCATGCATAAGCAAGTTTTCGCACAAGTGTAGAGTTCGAGGAAGCTTTGACTATTTTACTTGCTTATTTGCAATATTTATTTATATCTCCGACATTGCTTCTGATGTTTATGTAGGCTTCAAAACGCTAAAAGGTTTTTCTTCCAGATTAGGGATACTAATGCTAGTCCTTGTTTTTGTGACGTTGTTCCACGAGAATATCCGCTCATCAATTTCAACATTTGCTACTGGGATAGAGCAACTCCGAACAAATCTTGGAAAATTCACATTAACAACAGAAGATTGGAAAGGTTCTGAACTAAACTATGAATGGTCGTGGCCATTTAAATATCTAGGACGATTCTTTTGGCCGTTCAAAGTAAAAGGACGTACATCAATATTAACATCTGTTAGAGCCGCATTTCTCAACGTACTCTCGATATTTTGGCTCCGTCCAGTTGTTGATCGTCTGCAATTTCTCACGCACTCACCTTCTAAATTACGAGTCATCTATAGGCAGCAGGCCAAAGACAAATCTCTTGCCCAATACTATATGATAACGGAACAGATTCCTGAGCTTCTTATCCAGTTTTACATTTTTCAGATCTACTTCAACATTTTGATGAAAGATGGGGATATCACAAGCTCTGGATGTACGGACTATCATAGTTTCGATTACGATTCAAGGGATTTTGAGTGTGTCGAAAACCTACTGAGATTAAAGATATGCGCGTCATGGGTGGAAGTATATTCAATGATAGTGCCGTTTGTGAAGATTCCCAACAGCGTGATCGGTTTGGAAGTGATACTCCATCCAGCAACACCAAAGATGTCTACTGTTGCTCTCGTGCTATTGTATATAGCTTACGTTCTGATGATTCCTGCTAGACTCTTCCTATTTGCAGCAGTAATGCACTCAGTCCCCAATCACTTCTATTTTGTTGGATATCTTGGATTGTCAACTTTAGTTTGGTTTGTTGTTAATAAGATCACGATAAGTAGAGCAAGCAAGCCTGAGAAAAGACCAAGTTCAAAGGATAAAGAAGAAGATCTTACGATACTACGACGTATTGGTGATATGTGGTCTCTCCTGCTATTCAGTTTTAGAGATGTTATTGTCATTTCGCTACGTCGACCGAATGCATATCTTATTTCCCCCTCAGAAGTAGGCTACAAAACTTTAAGGAACCAGGAATAGAATAAAAGGAGGTTGATGTCCTCATATCTATCACTACATGTTTTTTGTCGAGGGAGTTGTTATAGGCGCGGTTTATGTTGGAGAATAAACTTCCCCTGCGGAGAAAAGACAATACTGATATCTTCAAATACCCGGGATGGGCTCTACCTTATACTACTAATTATTTCAAATCTACCCTTCATAACTTTGCTTTTCTACATTTTCCAGGGTCATTATAACGAAATTTAAAAAAACTTCCGAATGAAGTCAAGCTTTATGGTGGATATGGGTTAATAATTGTCGGTTACATGGCATGGGTTCTTTATTCTCCAGGGGCATGATATAGGCCTGATGGAGCCGTAAATGGGTGCATCATCGTTTTTGTGGATCTTGATGATTATATTTCTTGTAGAAGCTATTATTGGTTTTAAGATATGTTTAGAGAATGCAAAGCTTCCGAAAAACATGGGCGAGTATGGAAGAAGGAACAGCTTCCGCCTGGCTGTCCGAATCTCTTATTTCAAAAAGTCCTTGCTCTCTAAATCTTTATGGTTGCAGATGTGTATAGGACTACTTTGATCCCTTGGTTCAACCCACTGCCACTATTCAAAACTCATGTACTCATCGTGTTGTGGTAAAATGTAACGGAATACGCCAGCATACTTATAGCCAAACATTACGCAGGACAGAGGAAAATACATGTGATATTTGAAGTCAGAGCAGAATGTAGAAGCTGACATTACACCAGCAGAAGACGAACACGCGGGGTATTCAAGACTCGCATGTATAGTTTAAAAGCTTTATTATGTATTTTATTTATGTCTGTTATAGGTATTTTTGGTAAGTATTTAATGGATGCCTATCGTTTATCATTCAAATGTTTCAAGATCCCACCTTGAAGAAGACACAACCTGTCTTATATAAGGTTGAGAACCCGGTGTTCACTTCTTTCAATCAGAAGTGCTTTCTATATATGGAAACCAATTTTATTACTTTTTCACGGATACAAAGATTATATTTTTATCCTTTCACCTTAATTTATTATCATTAGTCTCTTTTATACACTTTCTTTTATACCTTCTCAAACTCATACACTATCCATACACGGGACTTCTTTAAAGACAACAACCTCCGCAAAGAACTCCAAGAATCGCTACATTTGAGTTGCAAAGGAACAGGTTAATTTTAATTTTCGATGTTTAATGATCCTAAGATTCGTTACAAATTGCACTTTTAAGGATAGTTACTTTGTTTCAGTTCTTCAAAATGTTACGAGTTCATCGTAGGGTTTTTTTAATTTTAAGTATTCTATAAATACGGGGTTTTCACTAAATAGCAAAAGGGGACTAGCCCGTAGAAGTCAGGAAATAACCTTGTTTGATCGATTGTTGTTTCTCACTGGCGAGGAGCAGTGAAAAGCAGTGATGAGGAGCAGTTTACTTGTGGTTAGTTTGGTCGCTATGGTTAACCCTAGACACTCACGTTTAATTGAGAATCCTGTTGAGACACCTGCACTAATTTGGTAAATTGAGATTAAAGTGGGTGATCATGTGACACGTATATATCGACTGTTTTAAATATTTTAAAATAAGTGTCCAGTACAAGGGTTTATCTAGAAACGTTTGTTATCCTCTTGTAAATTGGAAACCATGTCGTCATAAGAGATTTCTATTATTATCTGAATGATTATAAAGACATTTGCCTATGCATAAATATAGCTTAATATGTATCTATACAATAACATCTCAGGAGATGTGACTGAAAGACACGTGATGCCCATATAAGGACACTTATCTTCCAAATCAGCTCCATCATTATCTCCTGTACTCCTTCACTGATACTGCAGGTTGAAATTATGGTTATGTTGAATTAATCAGCATCTACGTATTGCTTTCAATGATATTACATTCAGTGAAAAATCAATTTGGTACTCGGGATACAATATATCCCTGTATGGGCATCACGTGCCAGTGGGATACATGAGATCGCTATATAGGGTTAACCATGGTTACCATGGTTTACTGTTGTTGTTCCAATACGAGCACCACCACCATGTTGCACTTTTAAAATTAATGTTTGATAAAGCCTAAGTGTTTGTAATAGGAGATGGTCGATAATTTACCCGTATAATATATTATACCCTTACTGTTTCAGAGAAGAAAGCGGTGTGTTTATATCCCTATATGGGCATCAAAGTGTTTGTGAGTCAAGAACTTCTTTTTGTGTTGGAGCTAACTTCACTTCCTCATTAAACAAAAGGTGAGTTTCAATTTTAGCGGATTATACTTGATACAACCGCACAGAAAAACTAATGCTATAAAGTCATCATTGTAATCATTTTAACTTTAATAAAATTCTTCATTTTAATCAATGCAATCAATGAATGTAATAAGTTAAATTCCTTTCAATTTTTCAATTTAATTTTTAGCCGTTCTGATGAAAACTTCGTATTGTGGCAAAATAACGATTTTTGCCGAAAACTCGCGACGTTGAGGTTTGTCCGATCATTTACCTATATAAAAAATACCTAACTTCCCTTACTTTTTCAGAGAAGAAAGCGGTGTTTGCGAGTCAAGAACTTTTTTTGTGTTGGAGCTAACTTCACTTTCTCATTGAACAAAAGGTGAGTTTTCAATTTTAGCAGTATTTTACTTGATACAACCACCACAGAAAGCTATTCTATATATCATCTTTCTAATTATTTAAACTTTAATCAATGTCATCATCAACATTTAATCAATTAAATGCAATCAATGAATGTAATAGGTTAAATCCTTTTCAATTTCATTTTTAGCCTTTCTGGTGAAAAACTTTACATCGTGGCAAAATAATAATTTTCTGTCTGAAAATGTTGAGTTTGTCCAGATTAGTACTGTAGTTTTGAACAACAAACCTGTTAAACTTTATTTTCCTCAGGTTATGAGCGCTGCCAACTCTAACATCCTTCCAAAGAATACACTGCCACCCTTTCCACTCCTCTTCATCATCCCTTCCGTTCCCTCCTAAGTAGATTAACCTCTGTGAAAAAGACAGTTGTTCCTGGTTCCATCATCTTAAGTAAAATATATCTGCATTAGCTGATTGGGCGATTTATTATATATTCCGTCCTGGTTACACGATCTTAAAAATTAAAATGTGGGGGTAAATCATAATAGTTGAGAATTGAGGTTAGTCTAGAACAATGATCATTTTGCTATACGTTTTTATTGTAGCTGTAAGTCTAGATGTGAGTTTAACATATATTCTATGTTTTTATAATCCAGCCTGCATGCTGTAGTCATATGTACGCCCAGTAAAAAATGTTACTTTTTACTATTAATAATCACTCTGATTATGTTCGTAATTTCTACGCTTTCAGCTGTGTTTCAGCTATGGTTATGTAACCTCAAATTACTTTCGTCAAATTATGACCTCAATGAATGTATTATTGCCAAACTATCCCTATAGGGTTTTATTGGAAAAACTTCCGTACTAGTTTGCCTTAAAATAAACCTTTTAGTTATGTGAGGGAAATTCTTTTTCTGATATGTTAGTAAAAGTGGTTGTGTGTTTCATTTTATTAACCGTTTTTTAAATTTGACGATCATAATCAGACTATATCAGGGCATTTTAAAAAACAGCGATTCAGTTGTTTATTAGTAATTTTATTTGCAAAGCTATTTTAATTTTGCGGTTTTTGATAATGTGTTAAAATCCACAGGGTTGTTATAAATTTAACTACTTCAACGTTGTTTTTTTTTATGGCTTGGTATAATGACCTTCAGAACTAATATACATAATAGTTTTCTTTGTAATACAAACTTAAATTACTAGAGCGAGATAATAACGAAAATTAAGTATTTCCGAGAATTTTTCAAAATAATACGTTAATTGCTTTGAGCCATCAGAATGTTTTAAAGACTAAGCGGTATGCAAAATATTATGAATAAAAATTATAATATGATTACAAATCACTTGGAAGTTCTTTTTTCAAATGTGAAATAACAAACCAAAAAACATACAATGTCTTCTGGCTGCTCTTGGGAACCATAACACTAAGGGGCGTTGTTTTCACGGAAATTTTATTAACCCCCTTGCCCCTCCGCTATTATTTTTGAACACATAGCTATATTGTGTCCAAAATTACACTGAGCTGTATTCAATTTTGGGAAACCACTCCCCTGGGCTGATTACGTAGGATGTGTGAAGTCGTTTGTGAGCAGTGGTACGACCAACGGACTTATGCGTGGTTTTCTAGATCTGTTGGTTTAGCGTTCGTTCTGTTGGACGTGGTCTAGGTTGTACGTAACGATGTGTCTTGGTTTATTGGTGTATTGTTGGCATATGATTTGTGTTTATCTTTGGGTGAGGGGCAATCACAATTACATGAGAGTCTGATGAAATGGAGGCCAGATGTGATGGGCCCGTAGCGGGCGGGGGATATGAATTGTGGGGGTCAGGCGGGATAGGGTTTCCTTGAGGAGAGAAGAGACGAAGAGAGAAGAGCAGAGAGAGAGGAGGAGCAAGGTTGCGCGCAGGAGAGCAGCGAGAGAGGAGAGAGAGAAGGCAAGAGGGAAGGAAGAGAGAGAGAGGCGAAGAGAGTCCAGAAAAGCGAAAGAACGAAAGAAAGAAAGAAAGAAAGAAAAAAAGCAAGAAACGAAAAAGAAACAGAACAGACAAGAAATAGCAGCAAAGAAAGAACAGAAAGAAAAAGAAGAGAAAGAAAGAAACGAAAGAAAGAAGCACGGAAAGGAAGAATAACGAACAAGAAAGAAAGCAGCAAGAAATCAAAAGAACGAAGATAGATTAGGACCGACCGACGAGAACGAAGGAAAACGAACGAACCTAAAAGAACAGAAAAGACAAAGAAAAAGCAAGAAAGAAATGTAACGCCCTACCCGGCAGCTAACTGCACACGCGCCTCCCAGACAGCACGCATAGAAAGTAAGCGAACGAGACTCAGACAAGCCAGAGAAAGAGCAACGAGAGCGCGAGGAGCGCGCCGCGAGCGTGGAGAACGAGCGAGAAGGGAAAGCGAAGAAAGACGGCGACAACGCGTGAGCGAGAGAGAGATCGAGAGCGGCTATGCGAGAGGCGCTCGCGAGCTAGCTCGCGCGCGCGACGAAGCCGGATCTAGAACGAGCTCTCTCCTCCTCTCTCTCTCTCTCTCTCTCTCTCTCTCTCTCTCTCTCTCTCTCTCTCTCTCTCTCTCTCTCTCTCTCTCTCTCTCTCTCTCTCTCTCTCTCTCTCTCTCTCTCTCTCTCTCTCTCTCTCTCTCTCTCTCTCTCTCTCTCTCTCTCTCTCTCTCTCTCTCTCTCTCTCTCTCTCTCTCTCTCTCTCTCTCTCTCTCTCTCTCTCTCTCTCTCTCTCTCTCTCCTCTCTCTCTCTCTCTCTCTCTCTCTCTCTCTCTCTCTCTCTCTCTCTCTCTCTCTCTCTCTCTCTCTCTCTCTCTCTCTCTCTCTCTCTCTCTCTCTCTCTCTCTCTCTCTCTCTCTCTCTCTCTCTCTCTCTCTCTCTCTCTCTCTCTCTCTCTCTCTCTCTCTCTCTCTCTCTCTCTCCTCTCTCTCTCTCTCTCTCTCTCTCTCTCTCTCTCTCTCTCTCTCTCTCTCTCTCTCTCTCTCTCTCTCTCTCTCTCTCTCTCTCTCTCTCTCTCTCTCTCTCTCTCTCTCTCTCTCTCTCTCTCTCTCTCTCTCTCTCTCTCTCTCTCTCTCTCTCTCTCTCTCTCTCTCTCTCTCTCTCTCTCTCTCTCTCTCTCTCTCTCTCTCTCTCTCTCTCTCTCTCTCTCTCTCTCTCTCTCTCTCTCTCTCTCTCTCTCTCTCTCTCTTTGAATATGCTCGTTATTATGATCAACGTATGTTGTACCAAATTATTTAAATTTCTAAAAGTACGAAATTTGAGTTGTTCCAGTCCTTGTCATCCGGGTTAATATATATAAGTGCTTGTGCAGTAAGCACATGCTTGCTGACTGTAGACTTGAATGAATTTAGGAATTTGTCTTGTAGGCAAGTGGTGACGTATTTTATGTCCTTGTTAATAATGTTGACTGTTTTGTTATATAACTTAGGCCCAATGTAAGAAATGCTCTTGTCTGAATTACATAAACGGTTAAATGGTACTGCAAAGAACTCAGGTTCTCTTCTAGGTGCGTTTAAGTTTGAAACAGTGAACATTCCTATAATATTTGGTGGTGCAGTGTTAGAATAAACTTTGTGTATTAAGCATAATATACATTTAGCTATGATCACGTTCGGTAAAGCTAATATTTCTAGTTTATTGAAAATTTCCTTTGTGTGTGAAGGTGTACTATTCAGATCTTTGTCATAAAAATAGCGGTGGTATTGGTTATCTTTTAGAATATTCTAGTATAAGTGTTTAATAACCGTAAGGATTAGTGTAAGATTAGATTAGATTAGTGTAATAGATTATGGATGGTTTTGCGGAGGTAGACACGTGTTAGTCAGGTTAGCTAGTTAAGTTAGGTTATTGGACAGACTGGGCCGCGCGGTGTCACCTGGTTCGCCATGTGATGTCACGTGACCCAGTGCTGTTAGTGTTTGCTTGCCCCGTTAGCGGCAGTTCTTTGAGGAGCATTTAACGGTAAGGTTGTAAAAGTTACCGCTTCCGAGAACAGTGTAGCGTGGCCTTCGAGTCACTAGTCTTGGTATATTGATCAAATAGTAATTTATTGCCATTCGAGACTTATTGTTCGAACACCCTGTTTCCTTTGTTCTTACCTAACTTAGGACTCGATCAAGTCATTCGATCTTTTAAAGTCATACGGCACTCAGTAGCCAGTAAGAGCTAAAGTGAAATTGCAGAGCTTGAGAGCTAGAGATTTGCAGGTATTCGTGTACGAGACTTCGATATCGTACCCGTATATTTCTTTAAGTACCGTGTACGACACTTCTCTATCGTACCCTTGTACATTTTAATTACCCGTGTACGCCACTTCGTTACCGTACCTTTGTGAGCAGGCAGTGTTGACCATTGGTACGCCCCAGGAGGACTGATCTGGTTGCCAACCTTATTTTACACTAAGTGGGCAATCCTATATTTCTGAAAATAGAAGAGACGTCGACTTTATTTTATATAAAAATATCTCAGTTATTTTGTAGGAAACGGTATAGAATGAACCTGGTATCTAGAAAATAGGATGGTGATGTAATTATATCGAAGTACCTGGTTATATAGAGATGTTTCACTTTACGTTATATAAACACTGGGTATTTACTAAATAAAATATGTGTATACTAATAATCACGACACATTTTTATTATCATACTTAATCATAAAGTCGCTAGGAGTTTTATGTTTCATTTAATCAAAACTTACCATTCAGGGAGGAAAATGTTATGAAAACTTATACAGCGAAAACAGTGGACAAGTTTGCCAGCTGACTATTTTTTACATATTGTGAGTAGTAGAAAATGTATACCTTTTTAATTAAACATTCCTCATGTGCAATAAAACACATGCATTATTTGTCTACTATTTCATATTTCCAAAAGGAGATTTCTCAGTATCCTTTTAAAATGGTAATTATAGTGCAGTCCAGACTCTAGAGCTTGAGACTCTGCGGCAGCGCCCTACGAATTTAAGTATCGAGGGAAGGTTACCCAATTACAATATGCATTTTTTTCCAAGAATTTTGTGCTGGCCGAAATTAGCGCTAAAAAATCATCTTACCGTCGGCTTACTGTAAATGGCGCACTACCATTACCTACCTAGACCAAAAATTCTAGAAGGTAGACATTTTAAACTTTTCACTTAAACAACAAAGTTAAGTCATACGAAGTGCCGTAAAGTTTACATCCATGGTAATTCGTGAACGGTTGCTAATATCGGGGAACATTTTGTAGTTTATAACCTACCGTACCAAAACGCATGCCGAGTTGGACTCGTTGACGGAAGATGATTAATCACTCTACACTCGACTGTCACGTGACTTCTTCAACCCGTTCTCTAGCTGGCCCTGAACGACTATTCAAAACCCTGACCCTCTAATCTGATCCCAACGTGATCGAGACAGTTTTTCGCCAATATCTCGCCAGAGAGCATTTTAACCCTATGTCATGGGGGTGATTCGGAATCAGCGTCCGAAAATACATCGATTCAAGTTGGTTTCAACTGTCGGGGGCCCTTTTAGAACAATCTCGAAGATCGACTGTAGAGTGATTCAGCACGCTCGCTCGTTGACGGTCTAAATCTAATATTGGGAACAAATATTTTATTTTTACGAGTATATCTCACCCGTTAAGAAAAACTGCCAGTCACTTTTGGAAATGAATGTTGCTTTTTAAAGAATTATAAAAGACACTATTTGAAGCAACGAAAAATTCGCAACTTGCTTTAAGGGGGGGGGACAATGGATATTTTTTTGTGAAACTTGATTTCGAGATAGCAGTTGACCAACAAACTAGGACCAGTGACCGAACTTTTGAGGGGGTCCCGGACCCCAACCGCCAAACGGTGCCCGCGGGGCAGCCACGCCCATATTTGGTCCAAATTAGGCCCAATTTAGCCAAATACCCTGAACATGCCCAAAACCCAGATTTTAGGTGCTCTACTTGTAGCTAGTGGTCTCTTGAACTCGTATATTAAATTTCATCAAGATTGGACAAAAAATGACTGAGTTATGAGCCAAAAACCATATGCCCATATTTGGGCATATGCACCAAATTTGGTAGATTTCGTCCCATAAATTGGTCAAATATCAATATTTTTGAATGAAACTTACTTTATATGAAAGGTAAGCCTAAACTACATATTCTCTATAAGTTATAGCTTTATATCTGTTTAAATGTGGATACTAAGGCGAAAAAACCACAAAAAAATGAACTAAATTGCCCGTATCTTGGTTCGCGATATTCGCGGAATTGATCTCATTAAAATTGTAACAACTCAATCAGTTTTCAAAATTTTTCCATGATATTCTTGGAATCGACTCGAAATCGCATTTCCACCTTATTTTGAGAACAGATTTTTGATTTAGGCCTCAAAAAAAATTTGGCGGCCAAATTCTGAATTTTTCCGGGAAAATTTTGGAATTTGGCCGCCAAATTTTTTTGGAGGCCTAAATCAAAAATCTGTTCTCAAAATAAGGTGGAAATGCGATTTCGAGTCGATTCCGAAAATTTCATGGAAAAATTTTGAAAACTGATTGAGTTGTTACAATTTTAATGAGATCAATTCCGCGAATATCGCGAACCAAGATACGGGCAATTTAGTTCTTTTTTTGTGGTTTTTTCGCCTTAATATCCACATTTAAACAGATATAAAGCTATAACTTATAGAGAATATGTAGTTTAGGCTTACCTTTCATATAAAGTAAGTTTCATTCAAAAATATTGATATTTGACCAATTTATGGGACGAAATCTACCAAATTTGGTGCGTTTGACCAAATATGGGCATATGGTTTTTGGCTCATAACTCAGTCATTTTTTGTCCAATCTTGATGAAATTTAATATACGAGTTCAAGAGACCACTAGCTACAAGTAGAGCACCTAAAATCTGGGTTTTGGGCATGTTCAGGGTATTTGGCTAAATTGGGCCTAATTTGGACCAAATATGGGCGTGGCTGCCCCGCGGGCACCGTTTGGCGGTTGGGGTCCGGGACCACCTCAAAAGTTCGGTCACTGGTCCTAGTTTGTTGGTCAACTGCTATCTCGAAATCAAGTTTCACAAAAAAATATCCATTGTCCCCCCCCCTTAAAAGTACATTAAGTGCGTTAAGTGCCATATTACTAACGAACTATGGCCGTTCGTATATCAAGGACCGCGAAGATCCTTGGTATATAAGCAACATTTGACAGAGCATTGTGTGGAGTGAGCTATGTGCCCATCCTTGGAGAACCCGGCGAATGTCCTTGCTGTACGGCAGTGTTAAACAAGGAACTGAAACCGAGGGGTTCCGTTCAGGCCCTTCACACTTTGTTTCTGTCTAGTTCTAATGTACCGTCACAATAGTGACTTTAAATATATATATATTAATTTGAATAACCGTCCGCAAATGCAATATGATACTGATAATGAATCCGGTCGCTCGCTTTTTCCATTCATTTACAATTGTAATAGAAAACCCACTTCCCAATACACGACTTCCGATGAGACTTAATGCCTGGAAAATAGTAAAGGGGGTATAATAGTATAGAATGTATAACTATTATAAGAGCCGCGGTCATCAGGTCATGCTTGCCAGAATGACTGTGATAACCATGACATGATTTTATTATTTTAATTATAGTCGCTATGACTTATGAGTTTTATGTTTCATCTAATCTCAACCAACAATTCAGGGTGGAAAACAGCTGCAGTGAAAAACAGTAGACAAATTTGCCAGCTCACTGTTTTAACATATTGTGAGTAGTAGAAGATTTATAATTTTTTAATTATACATTTCTCATGTGCAATAAAACCCATTTTATGCATTATTCGTCAACTATTTCCAAAAATATATTTCGCTGTGTCCTTTTGAAATGGTTATTTAAGTGCGGTCCAAACTCTAGAACCCGAGACTCTAGGGAAGCGACCTACAAACCAGGGCTCTAGGGCGTGGAGACTTGAATTGATAAATACATAAATACACATTAGTTATACAAGTATCAAGAGTAATTAGAATTTTTGAATTGTAGTCACATTTCTTAGTAGAAAGCCTGGTAACACAGTCAAATAGCTTTAAGTTTAAACAAACCAGAGTTGAAAAATACGTATTTTACGAATTTTATAAAATATCAAAAATACGTTAAATACGGCGTATTTTATTTTCGTTGAATAAAATACGTAAAAAGTGTTATTGTACCATTGATAGCTCCAATAAAGTAATAAGTACTATTGCTTTATATAAATTTACGATTTTATCAAAACTCGCGTAGCTCTGTCGTTTTTCACCTCGCATATGACTTCAGAGTACTGGGCACGTGCTATACCAAAGCATTAAAGCGTTGAAGTTAAATAGAAATGTGTCTGAAAAAAATGCAAACGAATGACATAACTTTAGTCTTTGAATGAAATTTCAAGAAAAACGTATTCTAACGTATTTTTGACGTATTTTATTTCTAAGCAAAAATACGCAAAATACGGCGTATTTAAAAAAAATTTCTCACGTATTTTTCAACTCTGAAACAAACCGTGTTAATTGAAATCATTAATGGGACATATTGCACTGCACTATGAAAAGCAACACTGAACTGCAAAACACAGCTAGTGTAAAATAGAAGGCGGCAACCAGACTAGTCCTCCCGGGGCGTGCCAATGATAAACTTTGCCTGCTCACAAGTACTACACACTACACACTGCACTAATTTAGTCGTTTAGCGACTAAAAACTATAATTACTCACGTATATTAAGTATCGAACACTAGTCTAACACGATAGATACAATATCTTAGTATCGTATGCGTAAATAGAAAGGGTACAATATCAAGTATTGTATAATAATGTGAATTACGAAGGTACAATAATTGGTATCGTACACAAATATAACCGCAAACCTCTACATTGTACAATGTACAAGCAGTACTTGCTGTGAAGGGGCGTAGGATACGATAACACAAGTATCGCTCTACTCTAAATCTTATACACTTAGGTGTAGTATTACTTTCAATCGGTGACCGACAACTAGGAACCTCTCATTCCGGGCTCCCACAGGTATCACATCACATGGCCCAATCAGTGACGTATCATTTGTGATGTGATCCATATTATAACCATCCTAATTACAGCCGGACAACCAAGAACCTGGGTAGGGTTCAAATGACAGTTAAGAAGCTGTGTATTATGAAGTATATTAAGAAGTGTTTGAGCTTTCAATTCGATCTTACACGCAATTTAGTGCTGTAATGTACTTTCAATACGATCCAATGACTAGAATTCGATTACTAAACTACAGGGTGGCCCAAAAGTAACTGCCCACACGCAACCCTTTATTAACTCACGTAATTCTTCTTAGAATTGTACAGAAATTTCAGAGATTATAGATATGGGTCAAACTTAGAGTTAGATATCCTAAAAGTCCCGTCAAATTTAATTAAGTAAAACAAAATTTAAGTAAAACAAAATTTAAATTTTATTGCCATATTACAATGAATAATAATATCATAATAAACATAGTTAAACTTAAACATCCGATAATAAACTCATGAATATTGGATATGCTAACGAAATGTAAAATAAGCTTTTTACTATATGGACACGTTCATTTGAGTTTGAGGATATTGGTATACAAAAATAATAGCGTTTTCGACGATAGTGGCTTAATTTTGACATCTATTAACCTAGCACGTTCAGAAGTTCTGAACATTAGCCACGTAACACATACTCCCATATGCACTGCTCAGAAAGAAAATCTATTGTTGTTAAGCACTATAATGTTTCAAATGTCACATTTTGTGTGACTTAGTTAACTGTAGTTG